TTCTTCTACGCGCCCCCTATTCTTGTATATAAGTGCGCCAGATAAAGCGAAATTAATTAATCGGAACTGAATTGCAGACAGAGAGATATAGAGACAGATAATCGAGTCAAGCTGTAAGTAAAGTGCGTGAATCGTTGTGAATTCTAGTGTGTATTGAAGTTAAAGTGACTGTAGAAAATCTGTGTATTGCAAAGTTGTACTGAGAAAGAATAAACTAGTTTTATTTAAGAAAGAACTTGTATCGCGGAAAATTTACAAACGAACACAGAGACGTAACAGTATTGGTAAACTCGTACAAGATACTTATTTCCATATGAATGTAGGATAAGCGAGTATATATTTTAATTATCTTTTCTTTAAAACAGACTTCTTGGATATTAAAACCGATGTTTCATACTATATTACTTGGACAAGTGTAAGTTTTCATTCTTTAGCTATAAAGATAGAAAGTTATACATTGGTAATGAGAACAATTGAAGTGAGACGTCAGGTAATTTTAAAATATTAAAGCAAAAGACAAGTTAATTAAAAAAAAATCGGAAACTTGTATGCTACTACGGATAAACGATGGAACAGAAGAAAAACGTATTTGTTGACAGAAGTTAAAATGTAGATATAATGGCGCATATTTCTTTCGACGATGTCTGTCTTCAATAATAATAATAATAATGAAATCAGTGTTTTCTTTGGCTATTGGTCACACAAGAAACATGAATAATGATAATCCAGCTTCAAAGAAGTATAATCACTGTATATTTTTATTATAATATTCCAGCTTTAAAGATGTATAATCCTCGTATAATATTTTATAATAATATTCATCTTTAAAGAAGTATAATCACCGTATGTTTTCATAAGAATATACCAGCTTTAATGAAGTGTAATCACTGCAGCTAGTGTCGTGTTAAAGAAATTACTACCAATATTGCGTTATACACCATAGAATGTATAGACTTCACAAGTCCCCTTTTTGTGCTGAAATTTTGGTTATCAAAACCACTTGTACCGAATGAGATCTACTTAAAATACTGCAGTTTCCAACTAGCTGAAAACAGAGGAGTATAATGAATGTGGCTCACGTTCGTCGATTATAAGAAGTATTATATATATGTTTCGTGAAATGATTTCCACAATTTACCAATCAATATGTAACATTAATGATTTTGTATATCTAATTATAGAATTGTTGAGTTTATTGCTTACCTATTTCCTTAGAACATTTATCTTTCAAAGCGGTATTATATATATATATCTGTTTGCGTCCATGGCGGAGAAACAGTTAACCAGTTTTGTTCTGAGCACGTGATTCAAAGTTGTACTTGATGTGGTTATGAAAAATTTGTTCAGAAAAATAAATAAATATTACGCTAAAGAATTGGGTTTCAATACCAGTGATGGACATAGCACAGATAGTTTTACACTTAACAACGAAATAATCGAAAAATACATGCGAAGGGTAAATACGCTATATTAAAACAATTTTGAATATGTAAACAAGCACACCACATGAGAACCATAGGCAGTGGTACCTAACCTATTAGAAGTACATTATTTGTCGTTTCTTGAGTAGTGTTTGGGACCAAAAATTGTTCGCTTTTGGGAAGAGTATGTGACATCGCTTTATTTGTATATCATAAAAAATGTGTTTAGAACGGTGATTTAGAAATTGTAAGCCGGGAATATCCCATGTACTTAATAAAATTGGAAAACAAAGGAATAGGGATTAACATGGGGAATCAGGACCATCCATAAAACAGACCTACAACAAGTCGTATATACCTGAGCCATGGTTAGCAAAGTTCGGCATCTTGTAACAGGTGAAACTCTGCGAACACAAAAGTTAGTGGCAAATGCCGTTCACGTGCTTGGGGAAACTGTATGCAATATAATCAAAAAGGATTTCCGTTTGTAAAATCGACACATCGCACGTGTACACAAGTTTCTTCCATGACATATTCGTTCAAATGTCGCATACTTCAAGCAGTTGGAGAATAAAACAGGTATTCTAGTCACCAGACACAGAGTCTTTGGATTTCTGTGCGTTCGGACTGTTGAATCAAGCTCTGTGAACCCGTCTTCCTTGTAACATTAGATGGCTCATGGAAAGTGCAGGGAGTGGTGATATGCTTTTAATATAACAGTCTTAAAGTGAAAGCTTTTACAGTGGGAATTACGATGCAAGGCTATTTTCAGTATTCATGACCGTCTAACAGAGCAGATAACCAAACGTAGCGACATGCACTGTAATGAACTAGGTGAAGCTTCAAAATCGTCTTAATATAATGTACTCAACCTCTGTATTTATCTTAATCACCAGTTTAATGGTTTCGTCTAATTCCGTCTCACCAAATTATATATTTTGATCAGTTTTAACTTTAATAAGGATATTTTTACATGAAACAATGGAGAAAAGGACACGTGTAATCATAGTTATTACAAAACAAAACAAATGCCTTGAGTTCAAGCAAACATTGATTGTAATATACAACGTTTCCATTCATTGTATATGTTCTTGAAGTGTTAAACATTTAGGCCTAACGACAAAAAAAAATAGTCAGATGACCAGTAACTAAGTATACCTTTACAAAATAACATCTGGTTACTGTTCCACTCTATTTTTTTCCAATCCATCGCCTTCCTCTTCACGGTTCTTCAGAAATATTTACTTACTTGAACTATAGTGGTTACAAGATTGTTTGCGTGTTACAAAAATATCGTGTAAGTCTACAGAAAAGGCTATCGTGCAATGCCATCGGGGATTTTGAGCTGTTATATAGAGGGAAAGCGGCAGCTCAAAAAGCATCCAATGCCAAGTCTTGGGCTACTGTTGTCTCATCAAATAGTGGGATTTCAAGGTAGCTCTTACAGCACATGAACGGATCCAAAGTTATTGTCATTTCTTTTTCTGTAGGGTATTTTTGCAAGCTGCAAACATAGCTACACGTTAGTGTTCGTTTACAAAAGTATTTTTAATAAGGGAAGTAAAGAAGAACTTTCTCAGAAGTAATTCTAATGAGGTTAATGGAAGTGAAATTTATGAGTAGTTCTAATGAGGTTAATGGAAGTGAAATTTATCAGTAGTTCTAATGAAGATAATAGAAATGAAATTTCTCAGTAGTACTAATGAAGATAATAGAAATGAAATTTATCAGTAGTTCTAATGAAGATAATAGAAATGAAATTTCTCAGTAGCTCTAAAGAGGTTAATGGAAGTGAAATTTATGAGTAGTTCTAATGAGGTTAATGGAAGTGAAATTTCTCAGTAGTACTAATGAAGATAATAGAAATGAAATTTCTCAGTAGCTCTAAAGAGGTTAATGGAAGTGAGTCTTCTCAGTAGTTCTAATGAGGTTAATGGAAGTGAGTCTTCTCAGTAGTTCTAATGAGGTTAATGGAAGTAAATATTCTCAGTAGTTTTAATGAGGTTAATGGAAGTAAGTATTCTCAGTAGTATTGATGGTTAATAGAAGTCGTAGACAGTCTTTCGATAATCGAAGGTGACGTGCAGAAGGGGAAGGGAGGGGGTGAGAAACCATCAACGCTTGAATTGTCGACTGTGCTTCCAGCGCTTGTGTCATCGAAGCCCAAAATTACTGACATATTTCTTTTCATAAATGTGCCACTGTACTGAGCAAATAACTGTATTCAAGGCGTGTCTCCGAGCGCGACGATCCTGTAAGACTTTCACTCACTTCTGATGTGGAACCTCCGAGCCGTCTTTAGTGGATTTGGCGCAATCGTTGCCCAGGGAATCCCAATGAGTAGTAAGTATATCAGCTGTGATCAGGTGACGCTTTAGTACATCTTTGTAACACAGCTTTGGTCCATCTTTCAGCTGCTGATCAGAGGACAGTTCTCCATAAAGTAGAGTCTTCGAAAGTCTATGTTCTGGTATACGCACCACATGACCAGCCCAACACAGTTGTCTTTTAAGAAGCATGTCTTTTATGCTGAGCATATCAGCGTGCTCCAAGACCTCCTCGTTAGTGATTCGGTCTTCCCAAGATATATTCAGGATCACTCTGGCGTATCTGAGTTGTACGCTGGACAATATCTTTATGCGACAATGATAGAGTGTATACGTCTCAGTTGAATGTAGAGTCTGCTACAGTATGTTACCACTGTTCTCCTGTGTTGCAGGATGTTATTGCTGTTTTTATTTGTGCTACAAAATGTTAACGCTATCCTCCTGTGTGCTACAATATCTGATCGCTGTATTTCTGTGTTGCAGTATGTCATCGCTATCCCTCCGTGTGCTACAATATGTTGTTGCTGTTCTCCTGCGGGATACAATACGTTTCCGTTGTTCACACGTGTGTTACAGTGTGTTCTCGCTGTTCTCCAGTATACTACAATCTTATCGGTGTAATTCTGTGTATGACAATGTTATTGCTATTCTCCTGTGTTGCAATATGTTAACGTTATTCTTCTTTGTTTAATTTGGTATATTACATTTTACACAATTTGTTGGGGGGGGGGACTTTGTTTCATTTTACAAAATTTAAATATAAGCTATTTTGTGGTCGTACACATGTATAATTTAAAATAGAATAAATGAAACTGTTTTAAAAGTTAATTAGTTTTTAAAAAATTAAAGTTTTAGGTGTTTCTATAAAGTTGAAAGATTAAAATTAAAGATTAATTTTTCTTAAATATTCAAAATTTATATTCTTTAATTGTTTGATTACCAATATAAGTATATGTATTGAATAATGCAAAAAATTCTGCAATTTCTATCCTCTGAACAATATATGATTCTACTTAACGAAGAAACAGTAACAAGAAAGCATATGGAAAAAAAGTAAAAAAAGATGACGTAGTTTTGCAACGTATTTATACAGTTTTATTGCAAGGTACACCACCAGCTAAGATATAATCGGGTGAGAATGAAATTAATATGAAATTTAAGATACTGTTTATTCCTTAAATGACTGTTCTAATATTGGAAAAAAAGATAGCAAAATATACTTGAAACTTATTTTCCTTCTTTCTTATCGCAGGGTCATTTCATCGAAGTACAAGTTACTGATGGCGCCCTCTATAGGACAAAAATTCATTGTTATTTCTTGGACCAGGTAAATTATGTTTTTCCTAAAATGGGGGACATTGTTACTATATGGCATCCTGTGATCAAAGAAAGATTCGCATAAATTTATTTATGTATTTATCTTTCATAATAGAGGAATACAGCACCTTTGACAGGTCCAATCCTTGCGTAGATGTGTTTTTCATAATAATGGATTACAGCACCTTTGCTAGGTTTTTAATCCGTTATGGTTCTGTATCGTTCTTTGATCCTCATTATTTCCACTAATTTTTTTAACTCATTTTCATTTCCAATACATTTTCCAATGTCATCGAGCCAAGTGAGTGAAGATAGGGATAGATGAATTCAAGTAATCCGGCAGATTAAAATTTGAAAGTCTAAGTTTAAAGAAAGCAAAATTATTTGTAATGGATTAGGAGTGTTTAATATTGATTAATCGAAAGGTCTATAAAATATCTTTTGGCGAATTCTACAAATAACATAAAAGTAATATATATGTTACCTTGTAAATGTGCCGTTTTCTGACTTTAGTTCAGGAATTCTTCTAAAAATATATATTTTCCATTTGCAGTTACATTAAGATTTAAATATTACGAGCAACATTTCTACAATATAATAACTTATTTCATGTAATCAGCCATTTTTCATTTTTGTTTTGTTTATTTTTAGACTCGGGTTGCAAGACCACTGTCTAATGAAAAAAATTATCACATATTTTACCAACTTTTGGCAGGATTAACTCAGGAAGAAAGGGGTCAGTATCTTGAAGACATTTTTCATTCCAATTTTAATCAATCTTATATTTATAAAAGCGTTTACAAATTTAAAAGTGTTTACACCATATTCATATTTGAAGAGAATCTCTTTTTGGTCAAGGCCTACTTTGGCCTACTGGTTAGGACAGTCGACTCGCAATCTGCGTGTTGCGGGTTTGAATAACGTTACCAAACGTTTTCGTCCATTCAGCTGTGGGGGCATTATAATATGCTGGTCAATTCCACTATTTATTCGTAAAAGAATAGCTCAAGAGTTGACAGTACGTGGTGTAGACTAGCTGCCTTCCCTCTAGTCCAACATTTCAAAATTAGGGACGCAAATAGTCCTCTAGTAGCTTCACACGAAACTCAACAAAGAAACAAGTAAACTCTTTTTGGTGTATATAAAGAATCGAAGAAGGGAAATTAACTATATGTACGTAGCTTGATTGGATCAATTTCATTAGATTAATTTGGACGATGATGGTCACAATAATAAAACAAAAAGGAATAAGTAACCGTACAATTAACGAGGATCACCAGCCCTCCAGGTGCAATTAAGTTCACACTCACTTGTGGAATATTTCAATCTGTTCAGACACAGATTTTCTTCAACTTGACAGACTTCAACATGAGTAAACTCAACTCTGGTGTTTAACATACGACGACTTTAACGTATACACGTTGCACAAGCACGACAATATTTCACCATAACCTAAAAATTGTCAAGACCTTCATTTGTTAAATTTTTGACCACTTCACAAACACGTCCTTGTTTCCATCTAACTTCAAACCTTATCACGACATTCCCATCATAGTTAAGTCCAGAGTATTTCACAAATGCAGCCAAAAATTTAGTACTTTAGCCTGAATCTTTTCACCATATTTCCCAGATAAGTCAAGATTACTGCATAGAAATGCCTGGTCGCCCAACTATACCACAGTATAACTTTGACTACTAATCTTGACAGGTTAATTCTAATTTCATAGTCTAACCTTGACTCTGTCATTAATTTTCACAGTTTAATTCTTATTTCACAGTTTAACCTTGACTCTGTCACTAATCTTCACAGGTTAGTTCTTATTTTATCAGTCTAGCCTTGACAGTTTCACTAAACATCACAGGTTAGTTCTTATTTCACAGTCTAACCTTGACTTTTAACCATAACGCTGTAGCTTTGTTTTCATGTTTTTAAACGACTGTTAACCATAACGCTGCAGCTATAGTTTCCTGTTTTTAAACGACTGTTAACCATAACGCTGCAGCTATATTTAAAGTTTTAAAACGACTGCTAGCCATAACGCTGCAGCTATATTTTCCTGCTTTTAAACGACTGTTAGCCATAACGCTTTGGCTATATTTCCTGTTTTTAAACGACTGTTAGCCATAACGCTGAAGCTATAATTTCCTGTTTTTAAACGACTGTTAGCCATAACGCCGTAGCTACATTTTCCTGTTTTTAAACGACTGTTAACCATAACGCTGAAGATATATTTTCCTGGTTTTTAAACGACTGTTAACCATAACGCTGGAGCTGTATATTCCTGTTTTCAAAAGTCTGTTAGCCATAACGATGTAATATATTTTCCTGTTTCAAACGACTATTAACAATAACGATTTAGCTTTGTTTTTATTTTTTTAAACGACTGTTAACCATAACGCTGTAGCTTTGTTTCATGTTTTTAAACGACTGTTAACCATAACGCTGAAGCTATATTTTCCTGTTTTTAAACAACTGTTAGCCATAACGCTGTACCTACATTTTCCTATTTTTAAACGACTGTTAACCATAACGCTGTAGCTTTGTTTTCATGTTTTTAAACGACTGTTAGCCATAACGCTGAAGCTATATTTTCCTGTTTTAAAACGTCTGTTAGCCGAAACGCTGTAGCTGTATTTTCCTTTTTTTAAACGACTGTTAACCATATTGCTGTAGCTATATTTCCAGTTTTTAAACGACTGTTAGCCATAACGCTGTAGCTATAGTTTCCTCTTTTAAAACGACTGTTAACCATAACGCTGTAGCTGTATTTTCCTTTTTTAAACGACTTTTAACCATAACACAGTAGCTGTATTTTCCTTTTTTAAACGACTTTTAACCATAACACAGTAGCTATATTTTCCAGTTTTTAAACGACTGTTAACCATAACACTGAAGCTATATTTTCCTGTTTTTAAATGACTGTTAGCCATAACGCTGTAGCTATATTTTCCGATTTTGAACGACTGTTAACCATAGCGCTGGAGCGGTATATTCCTGTTTTAAAACGTCTGTTACCTATAATGCTGTATCTATATTTTCCTGTTTCAAACGACTATTAACCATAATGCTGTAGCTTAGTTTTATGTTTTTAAACGACTGTTAACCAAAACGATGAAGCTATATTTTCCTTTTTTAAAAGGACTCTTAACCATAACGCTGTAGATATACTTTCATGTTTTTAATCGACTGTTAGCTACAGCATAATGGTTAACAGCCGTTTAAAAAAGGAAAGTATATCGACAGTGTTATGGTTAATAGTCATTTAAATACAGGAAAATACAGCTACAGCATTATGGCTAACAGACGTTTCAAAACAGGAAAATATTGCTACAGCGCTAGGGTTAACAGTCGTTAAAAAACCGGAAAATATAGCTACAGCGTTATGGTTAACAGTCGTTTAAAAACAGGAAAATATAGCTACAGTGTTATGACTAACAGTCGTTTAAATACAGGAAAATATAGCTACAGCGTTATGGTTAATATTTTCCAGTTTTTAAACCAGTGTTAGCCGCAACGCTGTCGATATACTTTCCTGTTTTTAGACTACTGTTAGCCATAACGCTGTAACTATATTTTCCTAATTTTAAACGACTGTTAACCATAACACTGTAGCTATATTTTCCAGTTTTTAAACGACTGTTAACCACAACGCTGTAGCTATATTTTCCTCTTTTAAAACGACTGTTATCCATAACGCTTTTGCTATATTTTTCTCTTTTAAAACGACTGTTAACCATAGCGCTGAAGCTATATTTTCCTGTTTTTAAACGACTGTTAACCACAACGCTGTAGCTATATTTTCCTTCTTTGAAACGACTGTTAACCATAACGCTGTAGCTATATTTTCCTGTTTTTAAACGACTGTTAACCACAACGCTGTAGCTATATTTTCCTCTTTTAAAACGACTGTTATCCATAACGCTTTTGCTATATTTTTCTCTTTTAAAACGACTGTTAACCATAGCGCTGAAGCTATATTTTCCTGTTTTAAAACGTCTGTTAGCCGTAACCCTGTAGCTGTAATTTCCAGTATTTAAACGGCTGTTAACCATAATTCTGTACCTATATTTTCCAGTTTTTAAACGACTGTTAACCATAACACTGTAGCTATATTTTCCAGTTTTTAAAGGATTGTTAGCCATAACGCTATAGCTAAATTTTGCTCTTTCAAAACGGTTGTTAGCCATAACGCTGTAGCTATATTTTCCTGTTTTTAAACGACTGTTAACCACAACGCTGTAGTTATATTTTCCTCTTTTAAAACGACTGTTAGCAATAACGCTGTAGCTATATTTTCCTGTTTTTAAACGACTGTTAACCAAAACGCTGTAGCTATATTTTCCTCTTTTAAAACGACTGTTAGCCATAACGCTGTAGCTATATTTTCCAGTTTTTAAACGACTGTTATACATAACGCTTTAGCTATATTTTCCAGTTTTTAAGCGACTGTTATACAAAACGCTTTAGCTATATTTTCTTCTTTTAAAACGACTGTTAGCCATAACGCTGTAGCTAAATTGTGTTCTTTCAAAACGATTGTTAGCCATAATGCTGTAGCTATATTTTCCTGTTTTTAAACGACTGTTAACCATAACGCTGTAGCTATATTTTCCAGTTTTTAAACGACTGTTATCCATAACGCTGTAGCTATATTTTCCTCTTTTTAAACGGCTGTTAATCATAACGCTGTAGCTTTTAATTCTAGTTTTTCAACGACTCTTAGCCATAAAGCTGTAGCTATATATTCCTGTTTTAAAATGACTGTTAGCCATAACGCTGTAACTACATTATCCTGTTTTAAACGACTGTTAACCATAACGCTGTAGCTTTGTTTTCATGTTTTTAAACGACTCTCAACCATGACGCTGAAGCTATATTTTCCTGTTATAAAACGACTGTTAAACATAACGCTGTAGCTATATTTTTAGAACCAAAATCGTTTAAAAACGGGCTTTTTGAAGTGAACTATTCAGTTAATAATGTTATACAAGTATGACCAATGTTACGAAAGAGAAATGATAATTCTTTCTTTCCAATGGATACAATTGTGGAACGTTCGTTTCAAATCTCACCGTTTTCCTTCTTCTGTCTTCACGGGTAAAGTAAAGTTTTAGATTGTCAGTGCTAGATGTATGTGGAAATCATTCATATTCTTCTTTTCTCTCAATACTCTAGTAAAACTCGGTCTAGATGGATACAGTATGCACAACTTGTGTTATTTAAACAGCGGAGATGTCGCACAAAGTGTTTTGGAAGACTCGACGAGATTTCAATCTTGGAAGGTGAAAATTCTTCAAATTTATTATATTCCAAGTAAAGGAATATTTTAATTTTAGATATATTAGCATATTTTATATTTTCCCTGATACGGATGTTTTATTGAGTGTAATGTGCATAAATAAATAAGTTTATTATTGTGGTAATGGTGAAAGTTATCAGAAAAATTATACACACATATATATATATATATATATATATTGTTACAACAGCGGAAGTCACGCGACGCTGGGATCATGCGCGCTGGAGTTTCTAGAAGGATCATGACTTATCAAGGAACCTCGCGAATGTCCGAGTGTTCCCAGACATACTCTTTTTTAGTATATAAGCCCAGCAAATAAAGCCAGTGATAGATAGGTATGTAGATAGATTGAAGACAGAGATAATTGAGTCAAGCGAACAGTAGGTACCGTAAGTAAAGTGTGTGAAGCACTGTGATTTATAGCGTGTGTCATAAAAGTTGTTAAGTTAAAGTGACAGTGGAAATTCTGTGTACTGAAAAGTTGTATCAAGAAAGAATAAACTGGTTTTAATTGAGAAACGACTTGTATCGCTGAAGTTCCTCAGAAACAATTTATACCGTAAATTAACAAACGAGCAGATACGTAACAATATGTATGTATGTGTCTGTTGTCGACTTTAAATCTGTATGAAATTCTACCTAAGTAAAAAAAAATATATATATTAAAACATATTGAATGTAAAAAAATGTCAGAAAATAATCTAATCACTTCTGTTAGTACTATTATGTTAACATGTAATATAATCATTTCTGTTAGTACTTATATGTTAAAATGTAATATATCATTTCTGTTAGTACTATTATGTTTACATGTAATATATCATTTCTGTTAGTACTATTATGTTAACATGTAACATATCAAAATGCTCGAGTAAATTACTTATACTTAACACTATAGCATTAGTTTACCTGATGATGACCACACAAGTGGTCGAAACGTTGTAATAAATTTTCTAAAAATAAAATAATCCACTCAACAGCTGTCTTCAAAGTTTTATTATTTAAGTAAAAGTGGATTTCCCCTCCCCTTTCAACAGAATGTAATATATCATTTCTGTTAGTACTATTATGCTAACATATAAATTTTTATGTAAATAAAATTCTAATATTGTAACTTAACTTAGGATATACGTGAAGTATGTGAATGAAGCTACAACAGCAAGGTCTCTCAGGTGATTTAACAGTTACGAAGTATCTCAATGTCCCCATCCTACGTAACTTATCTTTGGTCAATGATTTCAAAAGAACAGCATGATAATTTAAGGGAGCATCTCAAAATCACTTCCCATAATGCCTCAAATGAACAATACCTCCCGCCCTTCCTCTTTAACGATATAAGTTGTAGATATTTCTAACTATAAATGGGACACTAACTTATAAAAAACTTCTGCATATTAAGTTGTTTTTTTAAAGAAATGCCTATTATTATATTTCATTTGATGTAGCAACATTTGAAAGTAGACTTTGTTATTTTATTAGACGTGTCTCTCTGTGCTTGGTATCCCCTTCATGGATGTCCTCAGGGTATTGGCAGCAGTATTGTTACTAGGCAACATCCAGTTTATTGACAGACCAGGGCTAGACGTGGATGTTGATAATGGAACAGGTAAAATTTATTAAAAGTAGACGTAATAATGAAATGTTTATAGAGTGGCTATAATGATTTGTGGATACTTACATGGATATAGGCATTTATTTTATAAAAATCCACGATAGCTATTTAAAGTTGAAATATACAGCTTTGTGCTTAACTTCAAACAACAACAACAACATATAAGGAACAAAACATAACTTATTATAAAACCTGTAAAATCAAACCTAGAAAACTTAAAATACTTCTGGTGTTTATCATCAGTATTACTCCATGTTTATTGTAACTTGTATTTCTCATCCTCAATAAAGTTATTTTAAAATACTGTCTTTGTTCGTGTGTATGTGTAGACCAAATGTTACTGACATTTAACGCATGATTCAACGGAAACAAATATATGTACAGTATGTCTGTATGCATGCATAAATTTAATAATTGATTATTTCAACTTGACAAATAGTTTCTTAAGACTAATTTGTAAAGTATTCAGTAACACTTGGTGCAGAAAAGCTCACAAGTCTATTTGTTTTCATAGTTGTAATTTCAATACAGTTTTCACATGTGTATTTGCTTTCATAGTTGTAATTTCAATACAGTTTTCACAGTTCTACGTTTTCACACAGGTGTATTTGTTTTCATAATTGTAATTTCAATACAGTTTTCACAGTACTACGTTTTCACACAGGTGTATTTGTTTTTATAGTTGTAATTTCAATGCAGTTTTCACAGTTCTACGTTTTCACATAGGTGTATCTGTTTTCATAGTTACAATTTCAATACCGTTTCTACAGGTGTATTTATTTTCATAGTTGGAAGTTCAATACAGTTTTCACAGTTCTTCGTTTTCACACAAGTTTATTTGTTTTCATACTCCTAATTTCATTACAGTTTTCAAAGTTCTACGTTTCCATAGGTGTATTTGTTTTCATAGTTCTAATTTCAATACATTTTTCATGGGGCATATGTTTTCACAGTTGTATTTTCAATACAGTTTTCACAGTTCTACGTTTTCACACAGGTGTATTTATTTTCATAGTTCTAATTTCAATACAGTTTTCACAGTTCTACCTTTACACAGGTGTATTTATTTTCATAGTTGTAATTTAAATACAGTTTTCACAGTTCTACGTTTTCACATAGGTGTATTTGTTTTCATAGTTGTAATTTCAATACAGTTTTCACAGAGGTGTATTTGTTTTCATATTTGTAATTTCAATACAGTTTTCACAGTTCTGCGTTTTCACAGGTGTATATGTATCATAGTTGTAATTTCAATACTGTTTTCACAGTTCTACGTTTTCACACAGGTGTATTTGTTTTTATAGTTGTAATTTCAATACTGTTTTCACAGTTCTACGTTTTCACACAGGTGTATTTGTTTCTATAGTTGTAATTTCAATGCAGTTTTCACAGTTCTACGTTTTCACATAGGTGTATCTGTTTTCATAGTTACAATTTCAATACCGTTTCTACAGGTGTATTTATTTTCATAATTGGAAGTTCAATACAGTTTTCACAGTTCTTCGTTTTCACACAGGTGTATTTGTTTTCATAGTTGTAATTTCATTACAGTTTTCACAGTTCTACGTTTTCACACAGGTGTATTTGTTTTCATAGTTGTAATTTCAATACAGTTTTCACAGTTCTACGTTTCCATAGGTGTATTTGTTTTCATACTTCTAATTTCATTACAGTTTTCACAGTTCTACGTTTTCACACAGGTGTATTTGTTTTCATAGTTGTAATTTCAATACAGTTTTCATGGGACATATATTTTCACAGTTATAATTTCAATACAGTTTTCACAGTTCTACATTTTCACACAGGTGTATTTGTCTTCATAGTTGTAATTTCAATACAGTTTCCACAGGTGTATTTGTTTTCATAGTTGTAATTTCAATACAGTTTTCTCAGTTCTACGATTCCACAGGTGTATTTGTTTTCACAGTTATAATTTCAATACAGTTTTTATGGGGCATACGTTTTCACAGTTATCATTTCAATACAGTTTCTACTGGTGTATTTGTTTTCATAGTTGTAATTTCAATACAGTTTTCACAGTTTTACGTTTTCACACAGGCGTATTTGTTTTCATAGTTGTAATTTCAATAAAGTTTTCATGGGGCATATGTTTTCACAGTTATAATTTCAATAGTTTCCACAGGTGTTCATTTTCATAGTTGTAATTTCAATACAGTTTCTACTGGTGTATTTGTTTTCATAGTTGTAATTTCAATAAAGTTTTCATGGGGCATATGTTTTCACAGTTATAATTTCAATAGTTTCCACAGGTGTTCATTTTCATAGTTGTAATTTCAGTACAGTTTCCACAGGTGTATTTGTTTTTGTAGTTGTAATTTCAATACAGTTTTCATAGTTGTAATTTCAATACAGTTTTCATAGTTGTAATTTCAATACAGTTTTCACAGTTCTACGTTTTCACACAGGCATAATTGTTTTCATATTTGAAATTTAAATACAGTTTTCACAGTTCTACGTTTCCACAGGTGTATTTGTTTTCATAGTTGTAATTTCAATACAGTTTCCACAGGTGTATTTATTTTCATGGTTGTAATTTCAATACAGTTTCCACAGGTGTATTTATTTTCATATTTCTAATTTCCATACAATTTCCACAGGTGTATTTGTTTTCATAGTTGTAATTTCAGTAAAACAGTGTATACGTTTTCACTGTTCTATTTCAATAAAACAGTTTATACTTGTTCATCATTGATAATGAATCATTTTGGTTTAATTTGGATACAATTCTCCAGAAGATATGTCTATACTTTTATATATGAAATTATTCACATTTACGAACATTTTAGGTATTAGTGTTCAGGTTATGGGTTTTGTATTCTTTTACCTTTGATACAGTCATTTAAAAGCGCTACTTATCTTCAATAACTAAACTAATATGAATGTATGATTAAGTTTTGTTGAATAGACGGCAACTGCCTGTTGTAGAAACACAAGTATTAAGGACGACGTTTTTTAAAATCTTCTACTTTTAGTCTTAAGGTCTATCAAGCAATAGAATTTGAGTTCATTTAAAATAAATAAAATAATAGGATTCTAGTTATAAAGATAAAAACGACAATAAAAAGTTTTAGTTTGTAAGTGAAACTCTAAGCAACAGAAACAAGATATATCTGAAGACTTATTAAGCCGTTGTTCTATCTGAGAGCAGTAAAACCGAGGAAGCCTGATAATTTTTGTAGAAATCCTGATAAAGAACTTGGCAGTAATTAATGTATAGTAGAAATTATCTTTTTTCTTTCAGTATTTAAAGACATGTATCTATTTTTATGTTTATCAAAATGAAATTATAAGAAAAACGTTCTTTGTCCTACAGAAGTTAAAACGGTGGCTTCTTTGCTTGGCTTGTCCAGTGTTTCGTTATTTCAAGGGCTTACATCACGCACACATAATATACGAGGACAAATAGTGAGGTCAGCATCAAGTGCTTTAGTGGTGAGTAGACATTAGACTTATCCTGTGGAAGAATTAACTGTTCTTCAAATTATTGGATCATTCCATTAATTCAGAAAATAATTAGGAACCAATGAAGTCCTTCATTTTGGCACCTATTGGTTACAACCAGGAATAGTTACTTATATTATACCAGTAAAAAGTTATGTTAAATCTAAAATCATCAGTTTTGTATTTAAAGTTAAATATGTAAAAAATAGCTTTGTTTTTTTTTTCTCGCCACCACAATAAATAAGTGGACGAATGATGTTGTTATAGGCTAGTGCCACTCGCGACGCTCTAGCGAAAGCACTCTACTGTCGAACTGTAGCCACCATAGTAAGAAGAGCTAACAGCTTGAAGAGACTTGGACCAACGTCTGTGACCCTGAGCTCGGACAGCAATGAATCTGTTCAGAATAACGCAGGTAATTCGAGCCTGTAAGAAGGTTCTGAGTGACACATATAATTACTTCTATTGTGTTTTCCTCTATTTAAAAGTAATCGAAGCATGTAAGACGTTTCTGGTTGATACAGATAATGACGTCTATAGTTTTTGCCTCTGTTTTAAAGCATGTAAGACGTTTCTGGTTGATACAGATAATTACTTCTATTGTGTTTGCCTCTGTTTAAAAGTAATCGATGCACGTAAGACGTTTCTGGTTGATACAGATAACGACTTCTATATAGTGTTTGCCTCTGTTTAAAATTAATCGAAGCATGTAAGACGTTTCTGGTTGATACAGATAATGACGTCTATAGTTTCTTCCTCTGTTTAAAATCAATTAAACCATGTAAGACGTTTCTGGTTGATACAGGTAATGACTTCTATTGTTTTTCCCTCTGTTTAAAAGTAATTGAAGCATTTAAGATGTTTCTGAGTGACACAGATAATGACTTCTATAGTTTTTGCCTCTGTTTAAAAGTAACTGAAGCCAGTAAGAAGTTTGAATGACACAGATAATGTATTCATTTATTACCTCCGCCATTGGAGATTATGTTTTCACCCCTGTGTGTGTGATTGTCAGCAAGATTTCTCGAAAATGGCTGAATGAATTTGGACAAAATTTGGACTATGACTCAAGTGATTAGGTTTGAAGGGTAAATATCTAAGGGCAAAGCCACAGCAAGGTCACAAATATCCATAAAATCTGTATCTGTTAACATTGAATTAATTTTCACACTATTTTTCTTTATAACTCAGTTAAAAATGTTCGGATTTTAATGAAACCCGGTGGACATATGTAGAATATTATTCCTCACCATCTGAAGAAAACTTGTCCGTGTCCTTTAATAAGGACGGACATACGGACTCAGTTTCTTATTTTTTGAGAGCCGAATATTGTAAACGGTGCTTGGCGGAAGTATGCGCTCTGCTGAGTCTCTCTCTGGTTTGTGTTTCTGTTTAAAACTAATTGAAACCCGTAAAAAGTTTCTTAAAGCACAGATATCGACTTCTGTTCTTCTTTTATGGGTAGTAATTAAGACTGATATAAAAGTTTTTTAGACAAATTATAATTGTAAAATAGAGTACTTTCCTTAAACCTTAGAGTACTTAGGGGGGGGGGGCTGTTAAATTAATAAAAATTGGGGAATGAAGTGCATGTGCACATTTCTCATCCTGCAAGTATACTGTATAGTGATTCCTGGAACTTGAATATTTAAATTTCAATACAGGAAAATAGTAAAAGATAATATACTGAATTAGGTGTGTACATAATTCTAGAAAACTTGAGTAGTTAACGCTGGAACCCTTGTGTACTTAACACTGGAACTCTTGTGTAGTCAATACTGGAATACTAATGTAGTTAGCACTGGAACACTTATGTAGTCAATACTGGAATACTAATGTAGTTAGCACTGGAACACTTATGAAGTCAATACTGGAACACTTGTGTAGTCAATACTAGGATACTTGTGTACTTAGAATTGGAACACTTGAGTAGGTAATACTGGAACACTTGTGTAGTTAGCACTGGAACACTTGTGTAGTTAATACTGGGACATTTGTGTAGTTAATACTGGAACATTGCTGTAGTTAATACTGAATACTAATGTAGTTAGCACTGGAACACTTATGTAGTCAATACTAGGATACTTGTGTAGTCAATACTAGGATACTTGTGTAGCCAATACTGGAATACTTCTGTAGTTAATACTGGAACTCTTGTGTAGTTAACACTGGAATACTTCAGTAGTCAATACTGGAATACTTGTGTAGTTAATACTGGAACATTGTACAGTTAATACTGAATACTTGTGTAGTTAATACCAGAACACTTGTACAGTTAATACTGAATACTTGTTTAGTTAATACTGGAACACTTGTACAGTTAATACTGAAATACTTGTGTAGTTAATACTAGAACTCTTGTGCAGTTAATACTGAATACTTGTGTAGTTAATACTGGAACTCTTG